ATATATATGTACTGATTAGGGTTTCCCCTTCCTCTACTCCTTCCAGATCCTCTCCTTTCATGTAGATCTACCCCCTCTCTGTCTCTCACTAGAAAAAAAGAACCGGCTCCTATGGGATGACAGTAAAACAAAGTAAAATAAAATATAGTAAGAAGAGACAAAAGCCAACACATTGCATTTGGACAAAACAAACAGAAGAAAAAGAGCCCAAAAGAATGGTCATAAAATAGAGACCTACTCATCCACACACTCAGGAATTCCCCAAAAATGTACTAAAGTGGAATCCATAATATATGCTGCAAAGGCCCTGTATGGTAAACAGAGAGAAGGGAAAAATGCATACCTATATATATATATATATATATATATGTATGTATTAAAATAAAAGTTAAAAAAGAGTAAGATAACTTTAAAAAAAAGAGGAAGAGAGCCCTGACATGACATTATGTGACAGGAACCTCCAAAGAGATGCCACTGAGTTCATTTTCGATTGGCCATCTAGTGCCAGGCATGCAGCTGGCCCTTAGGAGTTTCCTTACTAAGACTGCCTCGGAGGAAACCAAGTTTTCATTTGCTAGTGGTTATATCAGTTGGAGATGGTCTCCGAGTTAGGGGCAGAGCATGCGTCCAGCTCCCTTGATTCTTAAACCCTAAAAGTCTGCTTATATCTTGATCAACCTGCTAACGTGGCATTCTCTGAGACTTGTTTCTGAACAAGCTCCTAGTTTTTCAGCCTTCAACTTCTTTGAGATTTGTCAATGCTGAAGAGTCTTTTTTTTTTTCTTTCTCATTTGTAGGAATCTAATATTTCTTCTTAAATTTTCAACTTTCTCAATTTGGTTTCCTTTATTAGTTTGTTTTCCCAGGTCCTCATAACCATCAGGGTCTACACTACCACATACTGGCCTTTATGACCGGCTGCTGCTCTCTGTGTGTTCTTTATGTTTCTCTGGCTTAGCTGTAGATATTCAATGAATAGGATTCATCTTGGAATTCTGTAGAATGCACAGAACTTTCCTCAGAGATGTTCAGGAAACATCAGTGTTTGATTAACTGAAAACAGGTCAATTATACAAAAGATGCAATTAAATAAAATATCTGAAGCTGTTTCTACAAAATAAATGGCCAAAGAAGGCACTTCAGAAAGAAACACAGCCAACACCAAAAGAATTAAAGACAGCCTGTGCTCTTACATAGGTATATCATTAAAATGATTGAAAATATTGAGGCTAAAGTAAGCCACTGGAAGGATCAAGGAAAAAATTCATTTCTGGACTATTCTAATGTGTTTAATGTAGTCTAATGTACATAAGGTTATATACATGGATATATAAATGATATAGGCATAGACGTAAATGATAGAGGTTTATGTATGTGTTTATAGTAAAGCAATTAGGGCTCTCAAATATTCATTTTTATCGAGATTGCATGTATTTTATACTTTTGTTTGCTCTATTTCATTTCATCTAAACTAAAATAGCAATGTCTGATTTTATTAAGAATTGACACATATGGGTCGCAACTTACAGGTTTATCTGTATAATTATTCTATAAATTAGGGAAGAAAATTATTAACTTGGTGACAGTCTATCACTCACCAATCTTAATTTATTCCCATCATAATTCCAAGTAACTAATCTGATTAATCTATGCTAAAAGTGGTGGGCAAAGCATCATGACCCATCCAAGGAACTATGAGAAAAGTATTGGGAATTCCCTGCACCAAGAAGCTTGAGGTTTCTGTAGAATAGAGCCAGGAATGGCTGCAAGGAAGATGTGAGCCCTAAACTGTATCATAAACCTCAGATGGGTTCCTAGGGAAAGGCCTCTACATGCACAAAATCTCTGCATTTGTCTGTCTACTGTGTTTCTAGCCAGCCACTACTGACAATGTCAAAATAAGGTTTCTTGATGGAAACACCTACCTCAAGTATGTGATCCAACCTCTCACGGCTGAGCCATAATAGGAGCAATTTAGTTCCACATTTTTAACTGTTTATGCATTTGAAATAAGATGAGCACTAATTCTAAATTTCTATTTTTGTAGATTGAAAAAAAAGACAGCAAATGATCAAATAATCTCCAACCTCTTATAAATTATGATGCTAAACATTATAATCATTAAATTGATTACCCTTGCTCTAGTGTTAGGTCATTGTTTCCATTATTTCCTTACTGTTTGCCACGTTAATTCCACTTGCTGAAGTGTCCATTGCTCTACAAGGATGTGGTCCTTGTGGGTCTTGAGCATCAGCCTTGGCATTATAGACACTTTCAGGATTCAATCATCTTAGATGCTTCAACCCTTTGGGAGACTGTCATCTGAGCATAATAACATATAAAAAATGACTACCCGTGAGCCCAGGGCTGATGGAAGACGTTTAAATTTGACAGTTTGCTGTAAATAACACAAGATTACCTAGACTTACTTTGAGCTATTAATTTTCTGGCACTTTCTGACTGGAGCTTGTGTCTTTGATCACTGTAGACATCAGAAGCCAGGACATTAAACTTCTCCCAAAAGTACTGTGCCCTGACGCAAAGGCCTGGGCAGCTCCTTGCAATCTTTGGTACCTTGAAATATCAGAATTCTGGTTTTAAACACTAAAGAGGGCTAGTGAGCTTAGAGAAGTAAACAACTGACCAAGACAATCCTTGAGTAATACCCCCCATGGTGATTCCATACTGTCAGATTTAGAGCAGAAGCCTGGTGGCATTCCCACCTTCAGAGGCCCATGGGAGGCTGTGTGTTTACTCAGCATCACTTCAGTTTTTCCTCAAGTCCCTACCCTCTCCACCCAGCTGGGGCCGTCATATTGCTTCACCTCATCCCCTGTTCTCTCTCTCCAGACACAAAGGACATGAGTGAATTTGAGAATGAAGGATTCTTTGCATTGCATCATCGCCGAGGAGCCATCAAACAAGCTAAAGTCCACCATGTCAAGTGTCACGAGTTCACAGCCACCTTTTTCCCTCAACCTACATTTTGTTCTGTCTGCCATGAATTTGTCTGGTACAGTAACTCTCTATTTTTACTCCCAAGCTTCGCGTTATGCATTTTCTCACTGCTAAGCACCGTGTGCTCCACTGTGAGGGAGGGAGAAGGGCTGAGTCCTACAGAATGGTGGTCAGTGGGCTCACCAGCATGGTAATCTAAAAAGTTAAGTTCAACACAAGATTTTTATAACATGGCTCTCGAAGAGTGAGACCCACTTCAGAAAGACCCTTCCATCAGTTAGCTCTCCTTGACTATGAAAATACCCAAAATTATCAAACTTAAAGAAAAAAATAGGTTTATAAAATAGCTTCAAAAAAGATTGCCTATCCCTTTTATTTTAGGCCTGTGACAAGACAAGATGTTGAGGCTAGGCAGAGCTGCTGAAGGCACATTAAAGCATCCAGGAAGCAAGAGAAGGGGAAAGAAAACCCCAGAGTCCCAGCATTCTCTTCAGCGTCACACTCCCAGTGACCAGGTCCTGCCTCCTTATGGTTCAAATATCACCACTGGCAGCTTCCAAAATATTAGCACACAGTTTTGGGGCATTTTGAATCCAAACCATAAGAAGGCCTGACAAAGTTTTGTTTTTGACCACATGAGAGGCTGCTGGTGCAGTAGGGAAGGAACAGATGAAGAGGGTATATTGTTATTATAAGCAAAGCTGTATAATTTTGTAGATGACATCTTCATTCCCCCATAACACAACTGCTGCATTGCTGCAGCTTGCACAGACAGCACTATCAAACTGCAACAAATGGCTGGAATGAAGCTCCTGGGTGTCTTAGCCTCGGAGACGAGTGTAACCACCTAGCAAAAGCTACGGTAGAGTGGGAGCGAAATGATGCTTGCTTCTGCGCTCAACATCTGTGCCCACTAAGAGACGCTGGTCCCCGGGGCTCCTGCAGAATCTTCAGTGCGCAAGTTCCCCCTTCATGGGGTATCCTCAAGCCAACAAATTAGGGTGAACATTCATTAACTGCTGTTCCTCTAATCAGTCGACTTCCTTTGTTTCCTTTGTCTGTAATCAGCAGCGCTGCTCAGGAATGTGTCTCTAGGCTGAGCTTTATGGCTGGCTGATACTTGCAGCGTCTCAGAATGAGGAAAGAAGATACTTTACACACGAGTGTGCTCATCTGTGTATAAACCGGGAGTGAGTGAGGTGACTTTTAAAACAGACAGTGACTTTTCAGCAAGGAATGTAGGAATTTATTGCTAGGAGCTTCACTACATTTTGGTCTAGTGTGGTTAAGCACAGGTTTGCTCAAAATTACAAAGATGAAGAGGAAATGAATATCACTTAATTGATTACAAAAATTTTAAGTAAAGCAACATATACTTAAAATAACTTCTTGGCAAGGGATATGCATGGGCTACTGGTCTGAGAAAGTGCTCTGTGGTTCTAGGCATATCTGCAATCTCACTTACCTCTAGAATGTTTCTGCTGCTAGTGTTGATGTGAACCTGCGATTAAACGAAGCATTGCTCTGTTACAGGGGGCTGAACAAGCAGGGCTACCAGTGCCGACGTAAGTCCTGAGCATTTGGTTTGTATCCTCAGCATTCTTTGCATTGATTTGTCCCTTGACCCCCAAAAATCACAAATGGCATTTTTTTTTCTTTTCAGAATGTAATGCAGCAATTCACAAGAAGTGTATCGATAAAGTGATAGCCAAATGCACAGGATCAGCTATCAACAGCCGAGAAACCATGGTATTAGCATATTTAGATTCAATTTATTTACTCTCTTCACCTTTTCCAGCGAATCGGGTTGTCAGCCTCACAGTTAATCTCAATAGCTACTAAAAACCCCTGTTGAAAATGGGGTTATCTTCATTTCTTACACATTCAAGGGGACATTGTCATCAAGGTTCTGATATTCACCTAAACCTGGGATAGTACTGTCCCATAGAAATAAAATGAGAGTCATATGTGTAACTTTAACCTTTCAAGTGGCCACAGTAAAGAAGGAACAAACAAACAGGGTGTGGTACCATAGGACTGCAGTTCAAGACACTGAGGCATTACAAGTTCAAGGCCTGTTTGAGCTACAAAGTGAGTTCAATGCCAGCCTGGGTGACTGAGCGAGACTCTTCCTAGAAATAGAATAAAACAGGTAGAAATATGGCTTAGTGCCAGTGTACTCACCTAGCATGAGAGAGGCCTTAGGTTCAATCCTTGGTAACACAAGGAAAAAAAAAGTTATATAAAGGAGAAACAAATAGAATTTTATTTTAGTCACATAACTAATTGAACCAAGGCTATTAATATTTCAATATATAATCAATATAAAAATATCTTACACTATTTTTCTTTACTGAGTCCTCAAGTCCTACTATGTGATTTGCATGTGCTTCTCAATTCTAACCCACTGCACTACAGGCGTTCACTGACCCTGGTTACTTAGTTGGCATACACAAACATCAGACCAAGAGTCTCCAGCTGTCATATCTTGAATCCGCTAGGCCTCCTCTCAACATTCAAATGTTCCTGGATCTTGAGCTAATGTTAATATTGGCATTGTGCAATACCAAATGAATGTTTACTTATCTCCCATTTGAAAACAAAAAGTATGAATATACCCCTTTTCCTGACATGGTCACCCCATCTGTCAAGACAGATGCCTCAGACATCAGCTGTGGGTACCTTGTGCTTGGCACATGCTTTGACACATGCAGATGGCACATGGGCTCTCACCTGGAAGAGTTGCAGGCTTCTTCAGATTCCTCAGGAAGGTGGTAGGCAGTAGGATGGGGAGAAGTTTCATGCTGTGCATATTTTCATTCCAATCACTGTGAGTCATATGTCCAGGAGACTCTCAGAGATTTGAGGCCTGGGGACACCTGTGCAGCCAGGCCTTCTGTCTGCCTTTCAGTTCCACAAGGAGAGATTCAAGATTGACATGCCACACAGATTCAAAGTCTACAACTACAAGAGTCCAACCTTCTGTGAGCATTGTGGAACCCTGCTGTGGGGGCTGGCAAGGCAAGGACTCAAGTGTGATGGTGAGTGCAAAGGAGTCAGTGTGGGTCCTGTGCATAGCCCCAAGGTTGTCTGTGCATTATGGAGGGAAAAAATAGGCTCTAGATCATGGCCCCTGTACTCATCATATGTGCCTGTGAAGATGCATGCCACCTTCCTGAGGTAGTGCACTTCCATTATTACCCTTCCACCCCACCACAGCCCCATTTTTCACTTATGAGAAAAGTGCACAGCCAGTCAGATTCAAGGCTAAGGTTCAATAGCTTAGGGTCAAAGTCAAGATTCAACAAATTAAAGTCAAAGCTCAATAGCATATGGTCAAGGTCAAATATCCTGTTCCCATATTTCAATGTTATACCTCACTTCTGGAGTAAAAGGAAGACAGAATTGCTCTTTTGACTGGTTCTTTTGCCAAGGACTCTTCACTCTGACTGAATCTAACAGATTGAGCTGTGTGGAGTCCACCTTTCTTAATACCAGTTAATGAGATTATTTCTGTCACCCCATCAAAGAGCAAACATGCATGTCCATTTGGCTGGTGGATGGTTCTAGAGAGAGGAATTCTAGGATGTCAGCTGCAGAGCACACATCTAAACTATGGTTGTGAATTCCAAGTGCCCAGACAAGACTGTATTCAGGACTGACCACCCCCTCCCTTCCCCTACAGTTTGGGTTATTGCAGAACTAAGCTATAATTAGCACCTATCATCTTCTTTTTATTTTATCTATATACAAGCCACCATTCACTAATTATGGAGGTACTCAGACCTACAGGGAAAAGAGAAACAAAGCATTCTTGATCAAAAATTCCAAGTTTAAAAACTGAAATGCTATAACTAGGGAGCCACAAGGGTGAAAATGTCTAAGGAAAAACAAGGCACTCTGCCTTCCATGTGAGAGGGAAGGAGAAGGTGAGCCCTGGATAATTCACAAGACCATTTCTTACCACAACAAAGACATTTCTGATGGTGGACTATTAAATATTTTATTTTGCAACATCACTTGTTTTTTTTTTTTTTTCTTCTCCTTTAAGAGCAGGCGATGGCCTCCTAAATGTGAAAACCATTCTCTCCCGCCTCCTCTTCCTCAGCTCAGTGGTGTTCAGGTACCTGGTGGGCCCTAGGAATGACATCTTAGCAGAGGCAGGAAGAGCAGGGTTTACAGATTGTTACCATGTTGGTCACTGGCAGTCAGAATAACCTCAAGAGGCTCTTTGTGGATCCTAAAGTCCTACTTGTGTCTTTTGCTCCATATGCATGGCTGTTTATAAAAAAGAAAACTTTGGTATGCAGGATTATGGGAAATATTATTAATTCCCAGGTAACATTAATGTTCCAGTATCCTAAATGTATAAGCAGAAAGGCAAATGGCAAAACTCTAATTGCTTGCTACTCCTGTGACAGGCTCATGGTCAGGTTTCGTTTCCTGGGAGCCTTGGTGCCAACTTGCCAAGGCAGAGTTGTTCCTGACAGTGTGATTGCAAAGCTTAGAACTTCCCTGAAGATTCCCTGGCATTATCTCATAGTCCTGTGCTTGCTTTACCCTTTCTAACATTCTTTCCTTCCCATTCCATCCCCTCCCCTTCTCCTCCTCTCTGTATTCCTTTCACTTCCCTTCCCCTCCCCTCCCTTTTCCTCCCCTTCTCCTCCCCTTCCCTCCTCTTCACTCCCCTCCCTTCTCCTCCCCTTCTCCTCCCCTTCCTTCCTCTTCCCTTCCCCTCCCCTTCCCTCTTCTTCCCTCCCCTCCCTTCCCCTCCCCTTCTCCACTTCAATTTCCATCTTGTTTTTCCATATCCCCAGTCTTCCTGTTTTCTCTGCCAGGCTTCTTCCTCACTTCTTTCTTTTTTTATTTTCTTCCTGACTTCTTGACTCTACTCATCCCTTCCTCTAGTTTTCTTTATCGCCCCCCTCTCTCTCTGCCTCAGTTTTTTGCTGCTAATCAGTCACCTCCGTGAGTGTGGTAGCCTTTCCACCTCTACACTGTCTTCTTTCTTTCCCCACAATAATTCCCATGAAAATAGTCATCAGAAGGGACTATTTGCGCTCACAGAGGTCAAGTTTCCACCTGATAGGTTAGTAACAAAGACTCGTGGTGTTACAGTGGGAATAAAGGCCTTTCTTCCTGACTGAGCATCAGAGTCAAGCTTAGACCTGGCAACAATTTTAAGGAGCAAAGTAAAATAAAAATCCCAATGTACCTAATTCTCAGTTGGCGTCTTACTTACATACCGGCTGAGACAGGAGAATGACCAGTTCAAAGCCAGCCTATGCTACATAGTAAGACTCTTGTCTCAACAACAGCAACCAAATAAAAGCCTTAAAACCCACTAAAGAAATCCATTGTAGTTATACCAACAACACAGAATTTTTAGTGCCACCACTAAAGATTTTAAATATACATAAAATGTATTACTTTAAAAGAAATTTTATAGCAAATGAAACGTATTTACATAGATAATATTTGTTTGTTTTATGATGAACTATCTAGAAAAATATGGACTATTTAAAAAATAAAGGCTGCACAATTTCACCTTGAGATTTTAAAGTTGTTTTATCTTAAAGTGTGTGTGTGTGTGTGTGTGTGTCCATGTGAGTCCAAGTGTCCATGGAAGTCAGAAGAGGACCCTGGGTTCCTCAGAACTGGAGTCACAGGAAGTTGTGAGCTGCATGACATAGGTGCTGGAAAGCAAACTTGGATCCTTTGCAAGAGCAGCAAGTACTCTAAGCCACTGAGCCACCTTCCAGCCCCACCTAGATATTTTAATATATGGCGATGTAATAAATTGTAAAGATGAAAGAGAAGTTGTACTTGCTGAACTGTAGTCACTGTGTGACGCTCTTTGCACTTGAATTGCTAAAAAGCAGTCAAGATTAAAATTTGGGTCTTAACGCCTAATTCTAGTAGGATAATGTTTAAGTAGTTTGGTCAAAGCAAATAGTATGTGAGGGTAGAATTTCATCTGCTGGAGCTTGGAATCTTTATGATAGCTTTTCTGTTGACTGTTATGGTGATCTTTCAAAAGGATTTTTTTTCCTAAAAACTAGTAATATGATGTAATAGTGGTGTTTATATAGACTCATGAGGGCACACATCCCCTTATAGGTAAAAACAGGGGTCCCGTGTCACAGCAAGTTTAACTTAGTCCCCTATGCTGTTGTTATCAGAACTTGTGAATCAGAATGCTGGTAGGGTCAGAGTTAGCAGCCAGTGTGGAGAGAGAGAAAAAGAATGAGAGGGGTGGAGAAAGTGAGGGGGCAGAAAGAGTGAGAGAGAGAGAGAGAAGAAGAAGGAGGGACAGGGAGGGGGGGAGAGGAGAGAGAGGACTGTATGTAGTATTAGAGACCCAACTCAGAAACACTCTAGGCTTTTTGATCAAGCTCATGCAAGTTCAGCTGAGACCAGCAAACACCATCCTCACATATTGACCATGTCTCTTTCTTTTTCTATGGAAAAACTAAAAGCCACATCTTGCAAGACCTACAGAGATGAAGGGCACTGTGCTCTCTCCCCTGAGGCTTTTTCTGTTAACTATGTCATAGATGTAAAGTTAAAACATTCACCCACACGTAAGAAGTTTTATTTTATTTATGACCTTGATATTAACTTAAGCACAATTCCAATAAGGGAAGGGGTCCTCTGACCTTCCTGTATTTGCATAATATCTGGAGATGTATGTTTGGGAGCCTGAACATGGAAGCATGACCTCCGTCCAGCTGGCAGGCTGATGTTGCTATCACCGTGTGAACCCACAGTGACAAAGCCTGTGTCTTTCTTCCTATGGCTCATATGGAAGCCTATGCAACTTTGTCAAATATGAGGCCTAGTGCCTGGGTCCAGTCCTTCAAGGGGAACTGCCATACCTTGGCACTACAGTCCAACAAAAAGCTTCTTTCACTCCTAGGTCAACAACTGTTTAATTTTTTTTCCTTCCAAAGTCCCGTCCAGTCTCTTAGTTCTGTTCACGGGAGACACAGCCATCCTGGATGCCCCCCACTAGCCAGGGCTCAGACCTGTGTCCTCATTTCATGACCCGGTCATCACCAGTTGGGAAGTCTATTAACAATACCTCCTCCTGAAGTGACCCAGTGGTCTCTGGGCCTCTTTCCTCCTGCCCATTGCTATCCCTTAACATATAAGCACCACCTCATCCCTAACCAGTTCCCTTCTTCAAGGTTGAGGCCACAGTTTAGGCTTCATCCCAGAGAGTAGAGAAGCTCCACCCAGCACAGCTGGGATAGGATACTCAGTCTCCAGACCGGAGAGGGAAAGCACCTTCTTGTATCATAGAATTTTCTAACACTATCGATAGGACCAATGTCAGCTTGGTGCTTCGATCCACAGTCCATGTAAGATGCAATACCAACTACAGACTTCCTTGCCTTAGAAATAAGACTGATGCTCCCTCAAGAAGGTGGTTTTTGTTTTGTTGTTTTGTTTTTGTTTGTTTAGTTGGTTTTTTTTTTCCACTCAGGGTTTCTTTCCCTGCTCCTTGCTGACTGCTTTCTTCCTTTCAGCATGTGGTATGAACGTCCACCACCGATGCCAGACAAAGGTCGCCAATCTCTGTGGTATAAACCAGAAGCTAATGGCTGAAGCACTAGCAATGATTGAAAGCACCCAACAGGTAAAGAAAACATTGAGCTGATGATATTTCTCCTGTGTCCACTCAACAAGGGCCACTCAGGTCCTTTGCTCTCTGGCTCTATCTGTCCCTGAGTGTCCTTATGAACAGTCACTTCCATATTTTCATCTTTATGCCCATATTACCACCTTTGAGATACTTACTGAATTCATGTGTCTGTGTGACTATAATAAACTCTTCATAGAATGAACAGGTAGAGAAAAGAGTAAATTTATTAAAATTACTGCAGATTTACTGCCAGCATTATCTGTATATTTTAGGGCTGTTCAAGAAGCTGGAGAGAAAAGATCTATTTTCTAGAATTATCTCCAGAAATACCTCAGGACACTCAGTCTAGGAAACATTTGCCTAGCCATTTATGCTTTGTCATAGGTTAAATTTCCATCTCTTAAGAACTAATTCTCATTGAGACCTGGAATTCCCTTCTATATAAGCTATATTTTCATTGACTTTCTATTCTTTCTTACTTGTTAAAGAATGAGGCTAATTGTATGGGTGATTCCAAATAGTCCCCTTGAAGTGCAAAAAAGAAGCCAAGTACCCGCTGTTGATTCATTCAATGCAGCAGATGCAAGACCAAGGAATCCTAAGAGTACTGAAGGGAAGAAAAGCTCTGGATGTCCCCACTCATGTAAAACCCTTCAGAGCCTTTTGTCCTCAGAGACAGCACAGTGTGCTTTCTGCGGTGGGAGATGGTGGCAACTACAGTTGGTTGGGTGGTCTGACCCTGTTTATGATCTAGGCTCGCTCCTTAAGAGATTCAGAACACATCTTCCGAGAAGGCCCCGTTGAAATTGGTCTCCCATGCTCCATTAAATGCGAAACCAGTCCGCCATGCGCACCGATACCTGGGAAAAGAGGTAGCTATTGCTGTCAATCAGTATCAGTGTTTGATCATGATCAACTTGACCCTGTAGTCTCTGAATTTGAGTTCTTCGTGTACCTAGTCTAGTGAGCTTCCCTTGTCTCTGTTTAAAGATTACAGACCCAATCCCCAACCATGAGTCCCCTACTTTCTTTTCTTTTTATTTTTTAATTGAAAATACATTCTTTTCCATACAATATATCCTGATTACAGTTTCCTCTCCTTCTACTACTCTTTCTAAGAGTAAAACTGAAATACACCTAACTAGGTTTTCTTTGTGAGGGGGTTGCAGGTGGTAGGGGTCTAGAATGTCATGCCCTATCTATGGCAAGTGATTTTATAGACATTAATCTACTGTAAAACAATACAAGGACGGGCATCACCACTGTTGTTCTGCACTGCTGAGACTCTTCTGTGAGGGCTCAAGACATGAAGAAAAAGAAGAGTCAGGCCCTAAGCCTTAGACTTTGTCATGTTGTAGAAGTTCCTTCTGCCTGAAGGTAGTTCACAGGAACATGCAGCTACATGATTCTAGGCACTGAATCATTTCAACAAACATTATAAAATATGTTCTTTGGACTTAAAGAATAAAATAACATTAAGGACTCAAGAGATGGCTCAGTTGGTGAGTACTTGTATTGTATGCACAAGGACCTGAGTTCAAGACTTAAATCAATATTTAAAAAAAAAATTAAAAAGCTGTACATGATATGTACTGGTAATCCCAGTGCCATGGGAGGTGGAGACAAGTGGATACCTGGGCCCCATGACAGCCAGCCTTGCCTAGCTGGCATGTTCCATGCCAGTTTAAAACCCTGTCTCAAAAACAAGGTAGATGGTGCCCGAAGAATGATAGTTGAGGCTGACTTCTGGCTTCCATAAGCATGCATGTGCATGCACACATACACACATGCACACACAGACATAGACACATGTATGTGCACCCCTTACATACGCATACCCCCTCACACAAAGAAATAATGTTAATAATAATAGTCATGCGGTGAGGATTCCTACAAATATTTTTTCTATACTTCTTTTGGCATCATGCAAGGGCTAAATTGACATAAAATTCTTAAAGAGAGATTCAGATTTCATCGTGGAAGGATTTTCAGGTGGTAAGGAAGATCAGTAACGATCAGTGCAGTAGCATCTTGCCTTGAAGACCATGAAACATAGTGTGGTTCAGATCTTTAACAACCTGCTAGATTTTATGTTCTTAGAGCTCACATCGTGGTCAATGGAAATTGTTGCCACTATGTCTGGGAGCCACAGACAGTGGTGATACCTCTTTCCCTAGATTTGTGAAAATTCCTATTTCCCCATGACCTGAGGTTATTAAAAGTTCTTTCTCCCTCTCTTTCTTCTCCCTCTCTTTCTCTATCCCTCTTTTTCCCTCTCTCTCCCTTTTTCTCTCTCTCTTCTTCTCCTCTCCTCTCCTCTACCTCTCTCCCTTTCTCTCTCCCCACCCCCACATAAATACATAGCCTTTGATTGAGTTCAATCTTTTTTTTTTTCTTTCTTTTCTTTCTTTTTTTTTTTTTTTTTTTGTCGAGGTGGGAAGTTCAAGACAGGGTTTCACACAATTTTGGAACCCACACTGTAGATCAAGCTGGCCTCGAACTAACAGAGCTATCTGCCAGCTTCTGCCTCCTGAGTGCTGGAATTAAAGGCGTGTGTCACTACAGCCATCCTGGATTTGATCCTGGGTCCACTCTTTCTTAAATTAGACCATTTCCTAGGCTACTGGCTAGACAAAGAGACACATCCCATACCCCAAATGCCAGATTTACAGACATATGGAAAGGGGTTGCACTGACTTAGATGAAACCTCAGAATGAGATGTGGAGGAAGGAAGTGGGGGGGTGACCTATGTGTCTACACTGACCAGCATACCTGTTCAAGTTTAATACGTGATCTACTGTTTTCAGAGCCCCAGGGAATTTCCTGGGAGTCCCCTTTGGATGGGACAGATAAAACAAGCCGTCTTCCTGAACCTGAAGTGAGCTTGCAAAGAGCCTCTCTGCACCTGAAACTGAAGATTGATGACTTTGTCCTCCACAAAATGTTGGGGAAAGGAAGTTTTGGCAAGGTATGCTAAAAAGAACTTCAGGCTAAAGTCCCTAGTAGGTGACACTAAGTTTCTAGGACCAGACTCTATGGATAGCACCCCACAATGTGCTGTGAGAGGGCAGAGAACATCCACCATTGAATTGGTTGCTGAGTGACTCTGGCAATAGCACTCTCTGTTTCCTTGCTTTTACCATTTGATTTCAGTCTACATACATCATATGCTCATGAGTTTGATGTCTTTGAGCGCCAAAGAATCAGGGGGACTGGCCATTTCCTGTTCACACTGGTTGTTTTGTTTTGTTTTTTCATTGTCTCTTCCCCATGCCTAGAATATTGTTTTGCATTTCTTGTGCCTAGGGTGTGACCTTGGTTAACCTTAATTACATGTTTAGAAGCCCATCTCCAAATATGTTCATACTTTTCAAGTAATGGATGCCAAGATTTCACCTTGACACATGAAGAAGAGGAGGGAGAAGATACACTTTCAGACACCGACTATAGCGTGAGGGCTGGAGAGGTGGCTCAGCAGTAAAGAGCACTGGCTGCTCTTCCAGAGGACCAGGGTTCAATTCCCAGCACACACATGGCAGCACACAACTGTCTGTAAGTCCAGTTCAAGAGGATCTGGCACCCTCACACAGACATACATACAGGCAAAACATCATGAAAACAAATAAATCTTAAAAACAAACGAACAAACAAAAAACCCTGTGGTTTAAGGAATTCTTAGAAAATGAACCTTGGGAAAAGTCCTCCTTCCATAGCCTTCTTGCTACTCACTGGGCAAGGGTAGGGGTAAAGTTTGTCTCTGTCAGCCATAGGGGGGGAAAAACGCAGAATGAGGAGGAGAAAGAGAGAGAGAGAAAGTGAGAGACAAAAAGTGAGAGAGAGAAAGAGAAAGAGAAAGGGAGGGGGAGGTGAAGAGAAAGAAGTTATCCTCAGGGCCGGGGTAGTTTAGTTAGTCAAGAGCTCAGGTTACAAGCCAGGGGACCCAAGTTCAGTGCCCAGCACCCACATCAGCAAGTCAGGTTTATTGGCATGTGCTTGTAATCAAAGCCCTGGAAACACAGCAACCACAAGTTCTCTTGGGTTTGCTGACCAGACAGCCACATTAGTCAGTTCTAAGGAAACAAGAGACCCTATCTCAAAATCCAGAGAGAGATGAACACAGGACACATATACAAACACACACACACACACACACACACACAATCACTTATACACTCACAAAGGAATTTTTCAACCATCGGTGACAACAGAAAATTTCTAAGTTAATGATTATAAAGGTGGGCGTTATAGAGTACAGGCTTTGGGGTATTTTAGACATTAAGGATATGTAATTTATTACTAGGGTTCCTGACTATTTTCCTAGTGTTGATGGAACTCCTAGGAAATTTTTAACCAAGGGCCACTATTCCATGACTGTGGGAGTCATGGAATACACTAAGCACCTTCTGGCCAGACTGTGCCAGCCATGTCTACCCAGTTTATTTAACAATAAACAAACTCAAGTGCACCCAAGCCTCCACTGTGGGCTGAATAATACTGTGTTCCAATATGTTTGCATTTGAGAACTGATGCATTTTCTTTTCATAAAACCTACTCAGCCCTGCAAACTGTAGCTGGGATCCATGAATTCTTTTCACTTCTACAATAACACAAACCACAACAGTTCATTTGGTGTTAATCTGAGTGTAATAGGCAATTTTACAGCCAGTCTTTTTTATAATTTAGCAGCAATTAATGTGCAATTATAACTAGATACGGAAAACTGAAAGGACATTATGTAAATGGCAATTGCCTTCTTGGCTGTTACTTTACTGCTGGTGTTAGGATGGTTTACTAAAAGAAACAATTATCAGCTGAGTACTTTTGTTAATGAAATGTTTATCTTTCTTTGTTCCCATGTGGATTTCTACACTTGAACAAGGTTAATAAGGATGATAGTAAGCTAAACACACATACCTTGCTAAGTATCTCTGGGGACATTCTGGGCTCTACGTACCTTCTCACTCTATGCCAAATGCATGGTGCCTTTTTTGCACTGAGACGCCAGGCTATCCACACTGAACAGGCAGAAACTGAGCTCACCTATTTCTCTTTCTCAGAATATCAAAGGTTCTCAAGAATTTACATTTCATCATTCTTTTGGCTCTCTGTGGAAAACATGGCTTCTAACCAAAATGGTAGCCTGTGACTTTTTTCAATATGCCTTTAAGCCAGGGCTAACAGATTACATTGTTTTCTGAAGATGTGAACATAATTTATATTTCTGAGTTCTCAGCCAAGCTCCAATCACTCTTCCAAGTCAGCTTTCAGAGGCCTGTCATATCTCTTTAAAAACAAAACAAAGAAACAAGATTTCATATAGCCCAGGCTGACCTCAAACTCACTGCACAGTGGAAGAATAACCTTGAACTCCTGATCTTTCTGCTTCTACCTCCCCAGTGCTGAGATCACAGGACTGCAGACCGTGCCTGCAGTGCTCAGTATCAAACCCAGGGCTTGCAAGCATGGTAAAGCAAGCATGCCACCAACTGAACTACACCCCAGCGCCCCATAGTATCATTTTAAACGGTATCATTTAAAACTTTTGCATTTTCAGTTTGGTGCCATTGACTTTGACTTTCCCTAAAAGTCAAATAAAAGACGCAAATGCTAAGAAAGTTTATGATTCTCAGGACTCTGGAGATGGCTCAGTCCTTAAGATTACAGCAGGCAGCTCACTGCTGCCTGGAACCCCAGCCCAGAATATCTGATGCTCTCTCCTGGCCTCCTTGAGCACTTCCAGCACATCCCCATACTCACAGACACACATAACATAAATAAAAAAGTAACGTAGATTCTAAAATAGTTAAAAAGTTCTTATAATTCTCATTTAGAAATCATTTTATAGCTTCTCAACCTCTTTACTTCATCACATTTGGCTGTCACCATCGTCCCGTAAATCAGTTAAAAAGTAATTTCCCCTAACCCTGGCAGACCTTTGAAGGCTCAGGAAGCTGAAGCCAGGGAGATCAACAGCTTTGCTCACTCGCCCATAGCTATTTTAAGTGTCATGTTCTTCCCACTGCCAAGGCCTTCTCCTGACTCATTTGAAAATCTAAAGTTGTTTAAACTCATTATATGCCATCTGGTATCTGTTAACACATGAGACAAGAAACCAAATGGGAAAGTAAGCTCTGGGTTTCGATCTTCCCTTGAGTAAGTCCATGAGTCTGAGGAAGTTTAATACTTTAAACTCAGAGAGAGTATTATTAACATTATTATCATTATCGTTAATACCGATTCGGCAGTGTTCAGTACTGAGAATCGTGGTGAGTTCTATCATGAAGCTCAGAATAGTCTCAAATTCACCATGTAGCCAAAGATGACCTGTAACTTCTGACTTCTCCCTTCACCTCCCAAGCAGTAGGATGGGAGACTTGGTCATCGTACTTGGTCTATGCAGTGCTGAGGGTCAAACCCAGGGCTCCCTGCGTGCATGGCAAGTGCTCTACCTACTGAGCTACACCCCAGCCCCAAGACCTTTCATGCATGAAGAAAAAGATCTCCCAAATGCATAACAGTTTTGTGAAAACCTTGTGAAAGGAGGATGATATGGAACGCTTAGTGACATCCCAAACAATGAGACACTATCCAGACAGAAACCGAGAAAAGCCTTTTCTTTACCCACCCAGAACAGATCTCTCTGAACCCTGCTTTATCTCTTCTTTACTGTGCAGAAACCTGTATTCTAAACTAGGATTGCTGTCTCCCTTCCCTGTAGGTTTTCCTAGCGGAGTTCAAGAGAACAAATCAATTTTTCGCAATAAAAGCCCTAAAGAAAGATGTGGTGTTGATGGACGATGATGTGGAGTGTACCATGGTGGAGAAGAGGGTTCTGTCCTTGGCTTGGGAGCATCCCTTCCTAACTCACATGTTCTGCACATTCCAGACCAAGGTATGCTTTCCATCCCTCCAGGGGTCCTAATTCTCTGCCGGTTAAAGAATTAAAAGGCAGGAAAAATCTGGGGCTCAACATGTAGCAGCAGAGACATTTCAAACACAGCAAGCAGCAGCAGGAGAATGCAGTTAAGAAAGGCTTTTCCTGGGGGAGATGATGCACACACGTGCAAAAGGCACATGGAGAAAAAGAGCCTCTGCAAAGCAGAGGGGATGTTGGGAAGCTGAAAATCGAGACTCTTCTCTAGGGCTGGCGTGTTTAAGTCTCTGTAGGATCTTATCTCCCCTAGTTAATGGTTGGTCAGTTTGTTGTCTAAACTCTTGTGTAAACGTGCCCTGATCCAGCCTTGAGCTTGTTGAGTCAGTACATCAGCAGAGGTCCTGCAGGCAGGAGAAAAAGCCCACAAGACCTTTGTTTTAAACTTCCAGGCTTTTTAATTGTTTTTAATTTATTACAATTTATTCACTTTGTATCCCAGCTGTAGCCCCCTCCCTTGTCCCCTCCCAATCCTGCCCTTCCTCCCTCATCTCCTTTCATGCCCCTCACCAAGTCCACTGATAGGGGAGGTCCTCCTCCCCTTCCATCTGACACTAGCCTATCAGGTCTCATTGGCTGCATTGTTTTCCTCTGTGGCCTGGTAAGGCTGCTTCCTTCAAGGGCAGGTGATCAAAGAGCCAGCCACTGAGTTCATGTCAGAGACACCCCCTGTTCCCATTACTAGGGAACCCACTTGGACACTGAGCTGCCATGGGCTTCATCTGTGCAGGGATTCTAGGTTATCTCCATGAATGGTTCTTGGTTGGAGTATCAGTCTTAGAAAAGACCCCTGGGCCCAGATTTTTTGGTTCTGTTGGTCTCTCTGTGGTGCTCCAGTCCTCTCCAGGTGTTTCTATCTCCCTCTTCTTTCATAAGATTCCCTGCACTCTGCCCAAAGTTTGGTTATGAGTCTCAGCATCTGCTTTAATACCCATCTGGGTAAAGTCTTTTAGAGACCCTCTGTGGTAGACTCCTATCTTGTTCCTTGTTTTCACCTTCCTCTGATGTCTATCCACTTTGTCTTTCTGAATGAAGATTGATCATCTTACCCAGGGTCCTCCTTCTTGATTAGTTTCTTTAGGTGTACAGATTTTAGTATGATTATCCTATATTATATATCTAATATCCACTTATAAGTGAGTATATACCATGTGTTTCTTTCTGCTTCTGGGGTTCCTCACTCGGATGATCTCTTCTAGTTCACACCATTTGCCTGCAAATTTCATGATTTCCTTGTTTTTAATTGCTGAGTAGTATTCCATTGTGCAAATGTACTACAATTTCTGTATCCATCCCTCAGTTGAGGGACAGCTGGGTTGTTTCCAGTTTCTGGCTATTACGAATAAAACTGCTACAAATATGGTTGAGCAAATGTCCTTGTTGTACACTTGAGCATATTTTGGATATATGCCTAGGAGTGGTATAGCTGGATCTTGAGGTAGCGCTATTGCTAATTGTCTGAGAAAGCACCAGACTGATTTCCAATGTGGAGTTTCAGGCTTTTTATGTCAGGTCTGGAGGATGAGGAAGAGGCCAGCCATCTTGATGTTTGCTACTTTTATTACCTAGTCATGGCTCCTCTCCCCATCTGTCTGGCTACCAAGGAGTCTGTCTAATGCATGCAACCCCTTTGAAAAAGTCATTCAATTCCTGAAAGGGTCGGGACCCACTGGTTGAGAACCAGTTGTCAAAGAGAAAGTAAGCTTGTTTGATGCAGCAAGAAGGAAGGTAAAATTCCTGATAATGTTAGAAATTTTCTACTAGAGACTTCCCATTTTTCTAGGTGATGTGGGTACTTGAAATCAAAGAACAGGCTCTGTCTCTTCCAAGATGAATTCCAGATTCATCCTGTGTACCATGGGAGTGTTGTCATTGCCCGTTTCCTCTTGTACTTTTTCTGAAAATTTTTGTTTTGTGTGTGTGTGTGTGTGTGTGTGTGTGTGTGATATGTGTATGTGTGTGATATGTGTATGTGTGTGATATGTGTATGTGTGTG